TGCATCACTATACTGCACCAACGCACGCTGCATTGATTCTTCGCGAGTTTTTCGTCAAAATGTTTAACCAATGTCCTGTCGCAACCACCGTATTCGCTTAATTTAAGTCACCGTGTGACTTCTGGCTATTCAGAAAACTCAAACGTCCACTGTGCATGTCTCAGCTCGGCTCTCAATGAATAACAGGTAATATATGAATATATTTTTCGTACCGAATCCCTAATTTATAAGTTATATGAGACGGTCCAAAAACTATTATATTTATTCGACAATGGAACCTTTGGCCACATCTACTCAACTCGCGAGAATAATCAATATGATATTTTTGTATGAACTTGTAGTTTCCTCGATTTACGCATAGTAGTCTACTTTTTGGCATAGCTCATTCCATTGAAATTTGGGTTGCGGCAAGATTGATAGAGATGAGAAAACATTGCGGCACGCTTCTTCATAAAGTAAACTGTTGAACGTCCAGTAATAATATACAAAGCCTTCACTGCCTTCCGGTGAGTACGTTCTATGAAACACACTCCAAGCGAGTCGAGTTTGTCCTCAACTCTATTATAATTTAGGTTGACTCTCCAGTTTCTTTTTCCAAAAGAATATGTCGAAATATTATTGATGCTATTTGGACARCTGTATGGTCTCTCTATCGGAACTTGCTTTGGTTTTCAGCTCTCTGGCAGCCGAATCGAAGTTCTTACTACTTATTAAAAGGAGGCTGTGCCCAGATTATTAGTTCTCTTTTAGGTCGACCTTTCTTTTAAAAACAATACGTATCAACTCGGCGGCTCTTATACACATGAAATATTAGGTCTACAACTTTGCTTCCGCCGKKTTTTTTTTKTTTTTGKAAATTTAAGGYTTTATTGTATAAAAGCGTTCCAAARGTGTTTTTCCTTATTCCCTCAAAAAGCAATGTTTAATTAACACACGAAATGCTTTATRATCCATTTTWATGTAAACTAACACAAGTTGCTTTACAAAAATTCTATATTTTTTTATTACCTAATAGTAGTAGGTAGAGTACATAATAGTATAATATATGTACGTGTCAGCCTCAGAAAAGCGAGGACGAGTTCTCAGACGCATTTTTCTTGAAATTAAAAAAGAAACGCAAAATTTCTCGCAAATGTCGAGAATTCGGCTCAAAAAGCGACATTTTYAGTTGAGAATAAGTTTGGGATGCAAACACATCTCTACAAATATTTTGTTGGGTTAATGTTGACACAAATGTCCAAGATCGATATAAAACGATTTAATCGATTTAATGGACTAGTGCTAGAGACATCTATTGGAAAACGGCGGAAGTAAAGTTCTAGTAATAAAATGGTGTAATTTTAAGAGAATTTTGAAAATATTGTATAGAATTGTGGGTTTCAACGGAAGTAATATGGGGAAACTGTGTTCTAAGTGAGGCCAATTTAACTTCGTGATATTTACCTAGCAAACATTTTATAACGGTCAAATGTCGCCTGATAACCGCTCCAGCTTGGAGGCTAAGGATTCCGTCCTCATTGGTGCCTTAATCCGAAAATGCAAGATTGAAGCTCTGTCCATAATAATATTTTCCTATGTTCCTATGTTCAACTTCCTTGGTCTTAATAAATCCAACCATAATCTTGCAGCGCATTTGTGTGAGTAAACGTTTATGTACATACATATATGTATGTATAAAGTTAACGATTTTTCAAGATTTTCACTTTACTGCAATTTTYTCTCTCTGTTCCCAAAAGTACTCGTGTATGTATGCACATATGTATGTGTTTTTATTTCTGTCGTCAAATGGCCTCACACAGCTGACTGTGATTCCCAGACTCCACTTTTTCCMATAAAAGCGACGCAACAGGTTTCACCGGTATCTAATATTACAACATGCGCACAATCATAAATACACCGCAACACTTTCATATTTAWGTTTTTGTGAGACTTACTTAGAGCGTATTTCAGCTCTCAACGCGAATAAGGTTAATGTGCCAAGTTCAAGTGCATGTGGCGGGTCATGAAGGGGGAAGGTCAGTATGCCGGTAAAGCGGAAAAAAGGTCAATACTGTAATATTTYCCAGTTYAACGTGGAAAATAACAATGTTTCATAATTTTTAATGATGGAAATGTTATTGTTAATATATTTGTGAAACGTATTTGAACTTGAAACTTTAAAGTACAAAAATCAACTGATGACTATAATTGGTTCATGTCCTAAAGAAATGTGMACTACTAGCAATATAATTGCTGAAGAGCAAAAAATTGTGAAAGTAAGATTTTAAACTTTTAATCACCAACAATTCGTATGCTTAGGCTGGATCAAATGATAGTTGTGAAGTGCGAGCTGTAATTAGAAGCTKAGGACACATACTTGTATGTATTGCTTTATTTTGCAAGATAATATATTCTAATCGACGTGACTTAGTTCACGTTTATAAAGATCCATGCCAATAATCGGAAAATTTTTTAAAAATATTTCATTATAGTTTATAGATATGTTTTCCTAGATAGATAGATAGATATATTTTTATTTCATGTACAATAAATATACAGGAAACAAGGAAAAAAAACAGCACTAGCTCGAGGCCATCAGCTGGTATGTTTTCCTAGAAATCAGTTTTAGTATGATGGTCGGGACTTACCTGCCTTAACGTACCCTTGTTTAGTGGGCTGTAAGCACGTCTTAAACGTTTTTTTTAGCATAGCTCAGATAACTTTGCGATGTAAATCTCATCTCACTCGAATACGAATGGCCAACTCAACATGGTATTTATATCAAATTAATGTCGACCTTTCATTTTTTACAATTAGCGACAAGTCTTCGATTCCACCCGAATTTAACCTTACCTTGCTGTATATACATATATATTTACATATATGCCATAAATTTTTAAAAGTAATGYTCTTTACACATACATATTGTACTTACACTAAATGACACATTTAACTAATTTCTCATTCATCGTTAAGTTCATTGGCTTGTTGTTCAAAAATGCCCAGTAATGGCAGTTGCCGATTCYAGAGCAAAGAAAGTAAAGTACAAGAAATGAATTAAGTTTTTTCCACCGGCAAAATGTAAATTTTCTCTCCGTACTCTTGAGCTTTTATATCTAGAAGCTTTTGCATTGATTCCGGCCTTTTCGTAGTTATGCTCTAGTTAATCGTATTTTCCTTTGACGTTGATAATGTTGACAATAATGTTAGGCGTATTTTTTAAAAAAATCGCGTGGGAAATCGGGAAGCGATAAGTCCTTTGAATGGTTGTCTTTTCCTGTTTGTTATTCTCTTTTCCATTTATTAAGTCGGAGTATTCTCTGAGTTTATTTGAAAGTAACTTGGTTTGTTTATCGCAAAATTACAACCTTAGACGGATCTCTCTAAAGAAGATCCCTTAGCCCAAACTTTACGATATTAATAATGTTGTCATTGATTCATATTTTTTATTTCCGGCTCCATATTTTTTTTTTTTTTTTTGTTGAAAATCTTACGATCTTTCAAATCTTTGTATATAAGTTTTTGAGGTTAATTAAATATTAACWAATATGTTAGTGGAGGAATCTCATTAAGAACCAGAGTCTAAATGAGAATTAGATATAAAAATATATTTTGTGCGCCTTTCATTTTGCTTTTATTTGGTCAACTTGAAGGCAAAATGTGTTATTCGTAGGGCCGTTTTCTTATTGTATGTTTAACATCCAACTGTCAGTTAAGTTCTGGTTAACTTAACCAAAACTCCTTCTTTCGATAAAGAACCCTCTTTTTAACCAGAACTTAACTTACAGATGGCTGTTAAACAAACATTACTAAAATGAAGCTGAGCCCAGATTATTAGTCCTCTTCTAGGTCGATCTTCCTTTTAAAAACAAACAGTTTCGTATTCAGGTCAGCTGCTATTACTTGTATACACATAAAATAAGATGTTGTCAKAGGAAATGTGAAAAAACTGTGGGATTCAATGGGAGTACTATGGGAGTATTATGGGAAAACCGCRTTCTACGCAACATGGCTGCTAAACAGTCACTGAGAAGACGGCCTTAAGCACTTGTAACTACGTTCTACTTCYCCTTACTGAATAGCTGTATCCTTTCAGTGCTGCCAAATCAAGTAAAATTGATATTAAGTGTTTCCATGAGGTTAGATCTTTATRCAGAACCCTATAATCCACAAAAATTTTAGCTACCTTCGATTCGCCAAATAGTTAACAAACTTTTAGTAACACTTTTTAGTTTTTCTAAACAATTGTAAAAAATGAATTAAAAATTAAATAAAACTTTTTTTTATTTGTTTTCAAAATTTAAGAATTGAAATAAATATAGTTGTTCATAGAAACTCGTTCATAGCTCGAAACTGAGAGTTTTTGAAAATGTTTGTTGTCGCATGAAGTTGAGTTTCTCTGTCGAAGAAAGAAGGATCACAACACAATTGCAGGGTTGTGACACGAGTGCTGCCTGGTCGTTTGCACGAACGGTATAGTTTTTGTATAGACAGCTATACACTCTTATACAAATTCAACTCGATAACTTTACTGAGGGTTGATTTACAAGAGAGCAGCGCTCAAAGTTAGCGAGCAGAGGTATGGCGAATCGAAGACGTAAAYTATAAAAAACATTATACTCAATATTTGTAATATAGTTTGAATATTTTTGAARCCAATGCGCCATTTCGCATAAAATGCCCCACAAGTTGTTTCTCTCTCACCGACTACCAAATGGTTAAAACTCAGCGTGAGCGTCATTATCGYTACAGTTGCATACGCGCGCATTGCTCCAAAAAATACTTCAGAGCTTTCGCTCTTTAACTCATTAGTACAGGCTCGTACCAGCCACATTCTACAGAGTGTATTAGYATAATATTGCATTTTACATAGATACATACAAACATGCATACGCATGTTCTCGTATGACTTTGTACGTCATTTCACGTTCTATGCGAGTATAGAAGTACTCGTAAACCATATTGAAGGAGGCAGTGGTCGGCTAAAATCACGCTCATAATTTTAGTTCTGTTCGGACTGCCTGCGCGGTCGGTCAACGGTAATTTAGTTCAGGAGTAGCTAACGGTTGTTAAATATTTGTGGTGTTTGTTGTGCCGGTTTTTAGGTGCTGCGCGAAATTCATTTAGGGAGCGGCGGTGACGTGCTTATCTACATACATACATGCATATGTRATTTGCAAAGAATATTCTTTGTTCGTGCCGTATTTGGTTTAAATTTGTTGTAAAATATAACCACAGAATAAATATACAAATAAACAGCAGTGAAGTTAGCAAGCAGTGTGCAAAAGTGAACATGTGAAATTTAACCAAATACAAATTAGTTGTATATATAAAGTCTTGTATGCATAAAGTGTTTTATCATTTTTACTTAAGTATTTACTTAATTGTACTTATTGCCTTGAATGCAACACACTACTTTTGTCCATTGTTGTTGTTTAAAATAATTTTGCGCAAATCACGGCGTGGTCAATGTGCTCTGTCATCGTGTTACACAACATTTGACTTTTGCTTGAAGAACACTTGGTGTTTGACAGTTTGATTCAYAGCAAAGGAAGGCGAAAATTGAAGCCAGATCTGCTGGTAATTATTTTGTGTTCATTCGAATATTTTGCTAGTAGAATTGGTGCGCTAATTTTGACCAAATATAACAAGTGTTGAGTTTTTTGCGAAACTCAGTGTACAATCTTCAGTTCAGTCAACAGTTACCTTCGCGCTGCAGACGTGCTTATCACCGTTTTCATTCGTTATTTTAGTGGTAAGTAGACGCACAGCTGTTTTATATTTACCTACTCACGCACTAGCCGCGCACGTTTTGTTTACATGTCGCCGGCTATCAGTGTTTCTTTCCGTCTAATAGAATTTCAAACGTGAAATTGTTCTTGTATTACTTTGAATAGCAATTTTTGCAATTTGCGATTATATTGTATTTCAAATTGTTACTAAGTGTTRTTAAGGCGCACGATTATTTGGCGTAATAAAATTTCTATTTCTGAAATTAAATCAATTATACAAGGCAGCATCGATAATTGCGTATAATAATGTACGCATGAAATTTTTTTGTTATGCGCGCGTAATCACAAACCAATTTGTGTGCAGAAAATATATTTGTTTCAAATTAAAGTGAAGTGTGTCCCAAAAATAACGTAACATTGCCGCACTTTTACGTATGTAGTAAGGTGTTGATAACCTTAAAAATAAAAAAAAAATAAAGAATACAGCCGACAATTTACGCTTGGTAAAAATGGAGCGTTACACGATAAAACAATGGTACACATTTTTTTTATTTCAAAAATAATAAAAACTTGGCAGCCGCAGTTCGAAAATTTCATTACAAATATGGCCGGAATAGTGTTTTAACTTATGTGAAGATTAATTGAAATGGCCGCAAGTTTCAACTTTGGGACATCCTATACATGCATTGAGGTAGTAGGGCAAAAAATCACACCCTTTCTAGTTTTTATATTTTGATGTCCATTTTCCTTTTAAAAAAATGTTTTCTGKTCATAAAGTGTTGATAGGTTTTGAGAATTTAGTACTCAAGCAATTGGAAAATTCCAGTTTTTGGCTTTCTACTGCCTTTTACTATCTTCTGCACTTTGGTTAGTCGTTTGTCTTCGAATAATCACCGCAGCAAATT